GACAAACGACAATATGGGTCAATGAAATGCCAGAACACGTGACCTGGTTTGATCCCGGTCACCAAAAAAAACTAAATTAATTTCAAATGAATCTAAATGTTGGCTGCACGGTGGGGTAGTGGGAAGCACGTTCGCCTCACAGCACGAAGGTCACTGGTTTAAGCCTCGGCTGGGTCAGTTGGCATTTCTGAGTTTGCATGCTGTTCCTGTGTTTGAGTGAGTTTTCTAAGAGTGCTCCGGTTTTCCCCCCACAAGTCTGAAGACATACGCTATAGGTGAATTGGGTAAGCTTAATTGGCCATAGTGTATGTGTGAATGAGTGTGTATGAATGTTTCCCAGTGATGGGTTGCAGCTGGAAGGGCATGCGATGCGTAAAACCTATGCTTGATAATTTGGCGGTTCATTCCGCTGTGGCGACCCCAGATGAACAAAGGGACTAAGCCGAAAAGAAAATGAATGAATGAATAATCTAAATGTGTCCAACTCATAACCTCCACCCATGAACCCAACTCAAATAACTCTTCCGTTACATTTATTCAGACAAATACATAAAAAAATTACAAAAATAAATAAATAAAATCCCAAATGTGAATTAGATGCGTTCCCATTAGGGTTTTATTCTGGGTTCACGCCAGAGACGTTTAATAATTTACGTCAGAGATGCCCAAACTACGGCTTGCGGGCCAAAGTTAGCCCATGGTAACCTTTGATTTCACCCGCAGAAGAGAGAGTGACATGGATTTATTTACAAAGACCTAACAGATATTGTCATTTCTGATTTACAGTAATTTAACATTTTGTTTGTTTTATTGTTAAGCTACAAAAAAGCTAATGAAAATTAAAGGTTTCGATTAAATGTTGTAAATGAATCAGATTTTTTTGTTTTGTATGTAAATACTGTCACTTGACAGATAGAGGACAATGCACAAGACATCGACAACTTGACTAGTGTATACAGCAGTGTATGCTAGTGTTTTAATCGTAACAAATTCATTATAAGATATAAAACGATATAATGCATTAGGTAATACGATTAAAGTAAATCTTGCTATTTATTTATTTTTTTAAATATTATGAAATAAATTAGGAAATTGGCAACTTTAATGAAATAAAATTAGCTATATTTATCTTGACCCATAATCAAGTTTAGTTTTTGGCCCTTCATCATAAGAAAATGTTTGGGCACCTCTGATTTATGTGATTTAGACAAATTCCGGTGTTTGCAGCAAAACAAATTGCACATTCGATGTCATTCGTGCCAATAATTTGCCTCTACTCACGCGTTTGCATTGCCTTTTTATGTAATTTATTCACATGAATACTTGGTTCCGTGTTTGGTGTGAACCCAGCACTAGAGTGGCTGATTGTAGTATTGGCAGCCTAGTAAACAACAGTAAACAAGGCAAGCATAATGGAGATTAGTCATGTGGGTGTAATGTAGAGACTAGGGTTGCGTCCGAAACCGCCTACTACTCAGTTGGTACTGCATTTAAATATAAACGTACTACTCGGCCGTTAGAAAAGTACGTTCTACACAGTATGAATGTGAAAAGTATGAATGAAGTTCGTACGTACTACATCCGCCATTTTGTCATAATCACGTGACCTACCTGCGTCAGTTGCGTCGCCTCTATTCCATTCATGAATTCTCTCGCGGGGCATTATGGGATAGCGCAGCGTGCATGGGATGCGCACTCCAGAATCTCGCCGGAAGTAGTAAGTCATCCGGGTACTTCTCGCATACTAATTTTCGAATTCTATGAATTCGGACACACTACTCGGCTCGCATACTGATTTTAGCATACTATATAGTATGGAAGTATGAGGTTTCGGACGCAGCCTAGCACTCCCACGAAGTACCTTGAGACCCAACGAGCCGAGAATAAAACTTTTCGTGGGACTCTCGCAGAAATAATATATCTTAATATGAATTGACTAAAAACAAATATTGTAATTTATCTACAGAACAAAAACAACAACAACGACTAAAACAAAACAAAAAAACTATTTACAGGGGATTTTAGGCCTACATTTTGTTAGTAAATTCAGTTTGTTTGTATTTATTTAGCTAAAAAATGTTATTTGGCCTATTTATTGTGAAATAAGGATAACTTATGTTCAATGTTTGGACATTGCTGAAGCCAAGAAAGGTTAACGCAATTTCTGAATCAGTATTAGGCCAAATGCTTTTCTGTTTGAGCACTTGAGAAATCAACGTCTGTTATTATTTTGTTTTATTCATTTGTTACATTACGACTAACTGTACTCAAAAAGAAAAAAAAAATTTAACTAAAATTTTACAAAAAAAAAAAAAAAAACTAAATTAATAATAATAATAAAAAAAATCCTAATACTTTCCTTCTTAGACTGTACAGACCTGAAACTTGCCTCTATCACTTATTCCTTGTTGCTCTTAAAGTTGTGTAAATTGCTTCCTTGTCCTCATTTGTTAGTCGCTTTGGATAAAAGTGTCTGCTAAATTACTAAATGTAAATGTAAAATGTCATTGCAAAATTATTAGGCTATGTAGGGATGGATTTTACTCAGTTTTAAATGTGCTATGTAATATAGCAAAAAACCTCTGGAATCTGAAGAAAAAGGTCCAGGATAGACTTTGACACCCTCTTTCCTAAACTCTCCTTCCCCTCTGGTATTGATATATACTCAGGTGTGACTGGTAACAAGGTTTTGTTCACTATCTTTGATAAATTTTGATTAAATCCCAACAGATGACTAAATCTTTAAGTCATGGGTTAACTTTAACAAAATAGCCATTCATTGCTCTCATATGGTATTTAAGAGAAGGGCGAAATGTCACAGGTTCGCAAGTCTGTATCCAGACCGGCACATAGTAAAGAGCTCTCAAGCTCAGCACTATATATAATTTAGACTTTCATCTACACTATTAGATTTATATTTGAGTAACTGATGTGCATTTACTTCTGAATTGGCTTTTATTGTTTGATTCTGTAATTGGCATAATACACTTTCATCTGGAAAATAAAGGAGTTTTGAGGCATTCTGAATCCTCCTGAAATCTTTTATCCAGTAGATTATGTGGAGGTTGGTGCTACCTTTAACTCTGTGCGGCATTGAGTCCCTAATTAATGTACAACTGAAAAGTATGGGATCAGATATTAATCAAAATTCTAAATTGATTCATTAAAATCAAATGTAACCCATTCCTAATTAGAAAGGCAGTCAATTTTTGATGTTCACTTAAAATTGGAGTCAGATTCAAGGCTTTCACGCATTTAACCTTATATAACCGTCAATTCACCTGTTATTGAGCTGATGGAATGGAATCTTACGGCTATTTCTAACAGTATTTCTATGTTCTGAAAAGCTCCTCATTCATGTTGTTTTTGTCAATTAAAGCATTTTTTTTTAATTTGGCATTTTCATCTCTCATTTCTCATGCAATACTTAAAATTGTGTTAACACAGGATGATGAAACCCAGTGAGTCCGCTTAGAACAACTGCACACAGGACAACTTCCCACAGTGAAACCGACTCTCTTTAATATACCCCTGAAGATAGAAGAGTACAGAGAAATCCTGTTCCGCTTTCATCAGAATCATGAAGGTTTAACCCCAGGAGGTTATGACATGAGGAGACACATCCATCTCCCAGCAGCAGGATTTAATAAAAAGGTGGCCAGCTGAACACATAAAGCAGAGAATCATCAAACACTTCATTCAGATTCCCACCACTGTCCTGGAGTTCCTGCTATTGTTGTGATCCTGATGTATTCCTTGCTGGAGTGTACACTAGTCTACCATACACTAGGGTTGTCACGGTACCCAACATTTCAATATTCGCTACCAATACCAGGAAAAATACATGGTTCTTAGTACCAGTTACCAATCAAAACTCAAAAACCATACCAATTGTTTATTTAAGCAACATTTGGATTTAAGCAATTTAAGCAAGTCATTTTTCAAACAAAGTTTTTTTTTTTTTAATGATGAAAATATGAAAAACTTCCAAATTAAGGATCATTTAAGTTCTTTTAACAACACTACCATACACACCACTGGAAACCATGGTAATTTTAAAGGGCACCTATGGTGAAGAATGTACTTTTCAAGCTGTTTGGACATACATGTGTGTAAGTATAGTGTATATACTGTCATATTGCGGTGAAATATACACACACAGTCCTTTTTTTTTTATTTAACAAGATAAAAACGATGGACCAATTGGAGCGGTTTTCAGATCGACCGCAATTTTACGTAGGAGTGCGGTCCCCCGGCCCACCAATATTGATTGACAGCTGCGCGCATTAACATGTCTCCGTACTATTGCATAAACTCATATCGACAAGACAGGACGAGCGCAAAGCAACTGGGAATAAAAGGTCTGTTCAGTTTGCTAGAATCATCAATCATCATCAGACGTGATCAAGAGTGAGTTTTACAAGTTTAACATGTTTTAAAACGTGTGCACGTGTGTAATGAAGTACAGCCAATCACTTCAGATTCACTTCTTCAGCACAGCCGCGTCTCTGTGTGTGTGTGTCTGCGCTATGTATGTGTGTGTGTGTTTGTCTACGCTATGTATGTGTGTGTGTGTGTCGCGCTACGTGTCTGTGCTATGTGTGTGTGTGAGTGTGTCTGCCTGTCTACGCTATGTATGTGCGTCTGTGAGTGTGTCTGCCTGTCTACGCTATGTATGTGCGTGAACTCATTGTTGTTGGTAAAGTTCTTATTGTAGTATTTCTCACAAACGTTACGTAAGATCTGCTTCCTGAGGCAGCCGAGGGCATGTTGAGGCATGTTGCTGACAGGCACGTGGGATCGGTGGGCGGGGATGACTCGCCTTAAAGGCCCAGTGCAAAAAAACAGCAACCACCTTTTCCCAGCTACAGATATTTCATACTCTGATGGGTGTTTTGAGCTGAAACTTTACAGACACATTCTGGGGACACAAAAGACTTATAATAAATATGAAAAAAGGGGTAACCTATGTGCCCTTTAATGTAGGGAGAAAAACGTACGTGATGATGAAGGTGGTGGTGAGTAAGAGTGTGGTCAGCAGTCCTCGAAGGCAGTCTGCGTTCTTCCTCTGTCTCTGGTGCATCTCTCCTCCACAGTTATCACAGCAGCGGCACAAACAGAAGAGAAGCCCGACCAGCGGCAGCAGCACGGTGAACAGCAGGCCCAGCGCCGCACACACCACAAACCCAAGCTCATAATATATTACCTGTATACAACACACAAATACACAGGTTAGAAATCCTGAAATCACCAATACATCCATGTCAACTAATACCGAGTTATTATTTGAGATGATTTCTTGATGCAGTTCGGGCCTAGTTAGCAATGAATGGACCCTTTTCACATGATCAGGGTATCTGCATGTTTCTAAGAGCTATATTTAATCTTTTTAACATCACACCAAATTAAATTTAGGACCAATTGTATACACTGTAAAAAATGCTTGGTTCCACACAATCGATTTATGTTGAGGAAACATGAAGTTAACATATTAGTTTGTGCAAATTTAAGTGGATTGAACATAAAACAACTAAGTTGTCCCCCAAATAAGGCTGCCCAATATAACGTTTCAGCATCGAAATTGCAATTGTGTGTCCACAATAGTCACATCGCAGGATATGCAATGTTAAGTTGCATATTATAGTCGAACAACAATTGAGAATACATGAGATTTGTGGAGTCATTATAACTAATAAGCAGTGGTGTAAAGTAACTAATTTCAAATACTCAAATTACTGTAATTGACTAGTTTTTCTCAGGAATTGTAATTTAGTATGTAGTTTTAAAAATGTGGACTTTTACTTTCATTTGAGTACATTTTTAGTGCAGTAATCAGTACTTTTACTCCACTACTTTTCTTCAACCTGCAGTTAGTTCTTTATTTTTTCTTGTCTATGGGGATTATAAAAATCAGTCCTGTGATTCCTGTCCAATCAAATCACACATAGAAGGTGAATCGCCTTATATTGAAGTACCTCAAAATAGGGTTGATCAAAAGAAATATATTATTGAAATTCAAATATATAATACATGAATTGATGTTTACTTTAAACTTATAAATATATATTTATATTGTTCAATTATAATGGTTACATTTTTTTTTTGTCAAATAATTTTGTGGCTAAAAAGTATCGGTTCAGGCACCGTTTTGGCACCGGTACCATTTTAAAAGTATCGATTTAGGTATTGAAATAACCCCAAACGATACCCAACCCTACCTCAAAACATTTGCGCTTTATAATTGCAGCAAACTGTTGGGAAGCATTAAAAGTGTACAAGATGTCCAAAGATGTCCTTAGCTGTGCCTTTACTGAATGAGCACTGTGCTGCATCCCACAGATTACACTATTATGTCTTTCTTGTCTTTTTCATTCTTTTTTAACCTGTTTTAACACATTTTAATCTGTTTTTAATCATTTTATGATCTTGTTTATGTAAAGCACTTTGAATGACTATTGTGTATGAAATGTGCTACTGTACAGTAAATAAGGAAACTTGCCTTGCCTTGCTTAACCATTCATTCATTCTTCCATTTTCTTTTCGGATTAGCTCCTTTATTAATCCAGGGTCGCCACAGCGGAATGAACCGCCAACTTATCCAGCACTTTTTTACACAGCGGATGCAGCCACAACCCATCTCTGGGAAACATCCACACACATTCATTCACACTCATACACTACGGACAATTTAGCCTGCTCAATTCACCTGTACCGCATGTCTTTGGACTGTGAGGGAAACCAGAGGAAACCCACACGAATGCAGGGAGAACATGCAAACTCCACACAGAAACGCCAACTGACCCAGCGGCTTTCTTGCTGTGAGGCGACAGCACTACCTACTGCGGCACCCTTGCCTTGCCTATCCAAGACGCGCAATATGTTTTCTAGAGGAAGAGCTTCTGCACTCTTTTTAATGTAAATCTAATATCCTTGTCTCAAAACCCATCCAGGAAAGGGGCTTTTAGAAATGAGGGAAATTAAACCAGGCTCTGTTAAATTTCCATGCTGCGCATAACTTGATGGAATAATGTTAAACATTTTTTCCCCCTCCATATCCACGTTCCGTGGCATTATGGACACTTCTGAATGAGCAGGGCTCTCCTCGGGCTAGCCGGTGGATAAGCTTAATCCTCCGAATAAACCAGAGGCTTTGTCTGTCACCAAGTACCCTCGCTTCTCCCCAAGGGTAGAGCCTTTCCATATTTAAAACTCTCTTAAAGTGGTTTAAAAGCTCATTTCTCATCATTGCTATGCGGGTAAGAAGTGAAAGTCTTGTATGAAATGAGACGAAAGCTTAGCTGCTATAAGAGTATCATCCACGTATATTAAAGCACAGAGGGCATGAGGTTATTGGCCGTTTTACTATGAGCGGTCATTCCCGCTGAGCTTCTCTCGTATCAGCATTTTCAAGCTTTAGATGGGCTCATCTACTGATGACATCATCCGTGTTAGCGCAGTCGCACTCCTGTTACTGGGACACGGCTGAGCTAAAAACGGCAGACAGCTTAAGACCAGGAAATGTGTATCTGCGAATATCTTAGCAATCACAGAGATGAAAGAGACATTTAATACCTCTGATTTTAATGTAGGATGGCAAAGAGAAAAGTGAAATGAACACAGTGCTAGTGTTAAAAAGTTATTAAGTGTAAAGTTCATCTGGAGACGTGATACTCACTGTGCGGTAGGCATGCGCCGGTATAAGATTCTGATAGTATGATAACCTTGGATAAAAATGTCTCAGTTTCATGGTATCACAGTATTGTGATTACTGCCCGAAAATAAGTTATTTTTAAATGTCTGGGTGAAAAAACAAAACCTTTTTTTTCTACTTTGAACACAATATATTTTATTTTGTTAAAGAAGTTTTATTTTGTGAAAGTATTTTGTAGCAGTAAACATATCAGACTAAATCCTCCAAATGAATCACTGACTTCTGATGTCTTCATTTATTTCAAAAACACAGATTTCTTTACAATTTATAAGAATATCTTTTTTCTGCTGGAGATACTGTTTTCCTAAAAAAAAAAAAAAATAAATAAATAAAAAACGTAAATAAAAAAATCTTACACACACCTTAGGAACGATATTACAGAAAATTTTGCTAAATTTAAATCCCAGACTTTTTCAAACCGTGGTTTACCTCGAAAACGGTGATCATCCCATGCCTACTGTGTGATGCTTAGAAAGTTGATCAACTGAATCTAGCTTGTAACATCTTGAAGAAGTGTAACAATGTATTCCCAAAATTTTAATACTAATGGTTTAATAAAAAAAAAAATTATATGATATATTAAAATGAATACATTGGGGAAAACATTTCTAAAGGTGTTGCTGACTTAAAATTGTCCCCAAATGTTGGTAACAACCAAAGAAATCCATATATGCAAAGAAAACCAATCGAATTAATTTACATATTAAGTTATGCATAATAAAATATAATGACGCAGGGAAAAATTATAGAACACATGAAGAAAGGGAGCTGTAGAAAGGCAGTGAAAGCCCAGACAGCAGCTGAAATCTCTCAGTAGTTCTTCAGCAACCTTCTGCGCTTCCTCAGTGTAAATGAGTATCAGCTGCTTCAGGTCAACATCTACATTAGCAGGAGGATGAAGATGAAACCAGGGTGGACATTTCAGAGAAATAAAATAAAGCTGTAGAATGGCCCAGCCAAACACCTGATATGAATCCAATAGAAAATAAAAACTTAAGATCAGATTTTAAAGATGGGACTCACAGCGCCATACATATTTTAACACTGTTGAAGTCTGTGAAAAACTCACACCAGAAGTGCATGTGACTTTGGCCCCGTTTACACTAGTGCGTTTTAGTTTTAAAACGGCGTTGTAGAATGAAAACGATCCGCGTCCACACTCGCGTTTTACCCAGCGTTTCTGAACTGCTCTCCGTCCACACCAAAACGCTGAAAACGCACATCACGTGACCACACACACACTCTCGAGCAAGCGCTCCAGCATTTCTACCCAGATGAGAGCTCTGCTTGTCGGACTGCTCATCAAGCATCTCTCGCTGGATCTAATCTCCCTATATTTGCTAATCGTGATATTACATTCATGTTGTTGTCTTTATCTAACGACATAGGCCAATTCCCTGACTTTGGTGATTGGAATCTATTAAGTTACTTGTTCACGGGTAACATGTTTTGGTTAAGCGCAAAGATAAGTTAATGATTAATCCAGGTACATTGACTGATCGCTTGCCTTTATTTCCTACAATGTATAAACTTATTGTATGTTATACTTTTATAATTATCGATTATTAAAACAGATATTCAGCAAAAGAGAGGGTGTGTTTCGTATTTTCACTGAAATTGAAAGGAGGCAGTTGTTATCGGCTCCGTTTTGTTATAAATATCCACACAGTGAAGATGACGCTCATGCAGCACGACGCTTCAACATTTCTGCTGTCTGTTAAGTTGCTAATATTAAAAAGAAAATAGGCAGTTCCTTAAATCATGTTTACATTTATTGTTCAGAAAGTGAAACAACGTAGCCAAGGTGATGTGAATGAAGTTATAAAGTACACTGTTCCCTTTGAAGATTTACCCGTGTCCTCGGTATGTTTTCCATATCAAACTGAGAAGGGGGAGACTGCAGCCTTGATCAAACTTGCGAAGTCTGAACTTACAAGAAGAGGATGCGAGACTGAACTGTGTGTGGGCTACTTAATATTGAGGAAAAGCCCCAATCAGATAGGCGAACGTTTGCAGCCCCGCCTCCGTTTTCAGATGTCTCCGTCTTTTCCCATCCATACTGAGACGGAGCAGCAGCGTTTTAGTATGAAAATGGCCTTTCCAGCGTTTTCAAAAAGCTCCGTTTTCGGCGCTCGAGAACTCCGGCGTAGTGTGGACGGATGGCGTAACCGTAGCAAAACTTATGCGTTTTCAAACTAAAACACACTAGTGTAAACGGGGCCTTTATCCGCATGAGAGGCGTCTTTAAGCTGCCATCACCAAAAAAGTCTTTTGTATAAAGCAGTGGTCACCAAACTTGTTCCTGGAGGGCCGGTGTCCTGCAGATTTTATCTCCAACCCTAATCAAACACACCTGAACAAGCCAATCAAGGTCTTCCTAGGCATACTTGAAACGTTCAGGCAGGTGTGTTGAGGCAAGTTGGAGCTAAACTCTGCAGGGACACCGGCCCTCCAGGACCGAGATTGGTGACCCCTGGTATAAAGTATTAAATATGTTTCAGTAGTTCAACACTTCCTACTTCTGTCATTAAATTTCTATTAAACAATACATTTTTTTTTCAATTCGTTTCGTTTTGTTATACTTTTTGTGATCTGAACTATGAGATTTGTGATCAGCTGCACCACTAGTCTGTCATCCTCAAAGCTGTATATTGAAGATACCTCAGCTTTATCTTTTTAGGGTAAGTGTATAAATGTACATTTCAGAATGTTAATGAAATAATTATAGGTCTGCTACATTTTTATTCAATCTAATGTAGTGTTCCACACAAATGACATAAACACAGTCAAAATTACGCTGGCAAGTAGGAAGAGAATGAGTGCAGGGTTGGGGTTTGTGAGGTTAGGGTGCAACTAAGGAATGAGGATGGTCAGATTTGGGTCAGGTTTGGCCCGTCACGCTACTAGCAAAACACACAAGTTACCTGTAGCGTCAGAACAATGTTTTCTGGCTGGGGGCGCCAGATGATGATAGGCATGCAAAACAGCGAAAACAGAAAAATACAGAACAGACGGTGAGCCAAATCAGATAAACAATCAAACAAATGGCAAATGAAATCACTTAAGACTAGGAAGAACACTTGTGGTCTGTAATGGGAACCAGTCCCATTTTGACAGTCCCAGAGATTGAGTGAATCATGGATTTGGCATCAGTCAAATCAACATCCAGCTCTTCATGTTCTTAAGTGTCACAGCAAAACTGAACAAAACCAAAATTGAAGAGTGAATATAATTATAGGCTGACTGATTGAAAGATGATCCATTTGAGATTATTGTTCTTCTATGGAGTTAAAAAAGTCTCAAAAGTTATTCAAGCAAAAGATTCACATGCATAAAACCACTCACATGCACAAAATATTGATGTATATTCACAAAAATAAAAAAAATAATCACAAAACAATGAAATAAATTGTAAAATGTGTCAAGAGTCTAAAATCATTCAAGAAAAGTCTCAAAAATACATACACACATCCAGGATGGGGATAACTCGCAAATTTTAAACCTTCAAAACATTTTGTACACTGTTATACACGTGTAAATGGTGTTTTGCATTAGCGAAACATATTTTATCCATACGTGAATTTGGTTAAATGCATGTGAATTTGGCTATGCATGTTCAGTTGAAGTCAGAATTATTAGCCCCCCTGAATTATTAGACCTCTTATTTATTTTTCCCACTATTTCTGTTTAGTCGAGAGAAGATTTCTTTCAACACATTTCTAAATATAATATTTCAAATAACTCATTTCTAATAATGGATTTATTTTATCTTTGCCATGATGACAGTAAATAATATTTTACTAGATATTTTTCAAGACACAACTATAAAGCTTAAAGTGGCATTTAAAGGCTTAACTGGGTTAATTAGGTTAACTAGGTAGGTTAGGGTAATTAGGCAAGTTATTGTATAACAGTGGTTTGTTCTGTAGACCATCGAGAAAAAATATAGTCTAAAGGGGCTAATAATTTTGTCCCTAAAATGATGTTTAAAAAAATCAAAAACTGCTTTTATTCTAGCCGAAATAAAAAAATAAGACTTTCTCCAAAAGAAAAAAAAATATTATCAGACATACTGTGAAAATGTCCTTGCTCTGTCAAACATCATTTAGGAAATATTTAAAAAAGAAGAAAAAAATTCGAAGGGGGCTAATAATTCTGACTTCAACTGTATACATCATGTCTTTTGCATGAACTTTTTGCGTGTCTATTACTTGAGACTTTTCTAACTCCATATTCTTCAGCCCTGTGAAATATCGCTCAAATTTAATCTTAAACCGTGTATTATGAAGAATGCTAACAAACCTTTTCTATTTTAATATATTGTAAACAAAATAATTTAGAAATCCTTCTAATACATTTTTAAAAATGGTATCAATGTTGAAAACTGTTGAACTGTTGCCTCATATTTTTCAGACAGTCTGCAAATATTTAGATTATTTGATCAAACGAAAACTTAAACTAAATGAAACTAAACGTTTTGAAGTAATATTGCTTTCTCTGATATCTCTTTTTAATTTATTGGCTACATTGTTTGAGATATCTTTGTTTTGACAAAGTCCTGTCACAGTCTTTGCCATGACGACTTGAAATTACAAGGACAAAGCTAATTTCATAAATCTGTCATAAACATGATTGTCATGTGGTCATTTTAATTGTGTCATGACGTTTCTAACAGCACCATTATCATCGTCAACTACAAATTGAGTTTGACACTTAAATTAATATTTAATGACATCGACACTTTTGACAAGAAATTTTAATGACAAACACATTTTTTCGTCCACTTAAAAAATTGACCAGAAAAATATTCATGACAATGGTCTCATGACAATCATGCTACGACAGATTTACAAAATTTGGTTTGTTTTTGTAATGTCAAGTTTTAATGGCAAAGACACAGACAGGCTGTGATGTATTCGTTTATGACGTTCAAGACGTCATAAAGATATCTCAAACAATGTCATATTTGAATTTAATATTGCAGTTCAATAAAAATATTGCTGATTTATACAGTTGAAGTAAAAATTATTAACCCTTCTATGAATTTTTTTCTTTTTCAAATATTTCCCAAATGGGAACAAATGCAAGGAATTTTCCACAGTATTTCTTATAATATTTTTTCTTCTGGAGCTAGAATAAAAGCAGATTTAATTCTTTTGAAAAAACATTTTAAGGTCTATATTATTAGCCCAGTTATGCAACATTTGTTTAGAGTGTCTACAGAACAAACCACTGTTATATACATTACCCCTTTCACACAGTGATAGCGGTAAATATCCGGAAAATATTCTTTACTGGTAGATTCAAAAAGCTCTGTTCACGCAGGCACGGACGTACCTGAAATTTTCAGGAAAAGATCATTTACACATCCATTCCAAAATACCAGTAAATTCTGACATCATTAACCAGACATGGGTTGTTTCTCAACATGTGTTCTTGTTTGTTCTTGCGTTTTTGTGTCCTCGTTAAACGTCTTCAACCGTTGACAAAGTACTGCTCCAATTTAAAGTTTACATCTTGCCAAGTACTGAAAAAAATTTCCGGATGTGTACTTGCTCTGCCCCTTTTGCCAAGAACGCATAAAGAGGTGACTTGTGCCAACTTGCGAAGCACAGGTATCCCAGAATGCATTGCGTTTTAAAAATACTCCTTTACCGTGTCACAAAATAAAGTTTTAAGAGTTTTTCAGGCGAGAATGTAGTTTTAAACTTGAATTGGCAGTTTATTCACAAAGATAGTGCGTCTTTGACGATGTACCTCAGCTTATGCGGAGTCTGACTCCCAGCCTGCCAGCGGGAGCTCCGTCATCACCTCTCCTGCCGAGAGCAGCTTTATTTCAGCCAGTTCATCTAGGACATAGATGTCAAACTCAATTCCTGGAGGGCCGCAGCCCTGCACAGTTTAGTTCCAACCCTAATTAAACACACCTGATTAAACTAATTGAGTCCTTCAGGCTTGTTTGAAACCTACAGGTAAGTGTGTTAGAGCAGGGTTGAAACTAAACTGTGCAGGGTTGCGGCCCTCCGGGAATTGAGTTTGACATCCCTGATCTAGAATGTACCGCTGGATCTCATCTGTCTATTGTAGTTAAAACATGATATTTATCTTTTAAATCTTTTATTTGTTCTCAGGTGTATTATTTTGGCAGTGTTATTTTGTTAACTTTTATAATTGTCTTTAATTATGTTACCGTGTTGTAAGCTGTTTGTCTTTGTTTACTAAATTGTTTGACGTAATCTTTATTTCTTATCGTGTATGTCTTTATTTCTTATTGTGTATATCCTCGTATAATTACCATTTTAGTTTATTAAATGTGATAATCAAAGACAAGTGTATGAGTTTTATAACTCATTTTACTTCACATTAATATAAATTTATGTGTACATTTTCCCAAATCAAAAATGTAGATTTATAATATTAATATAATATTAATTACAGGCTCGTGCTTGATTTAATTTTCACAAATACAGACCTTTCCGGAAAATACTTTTTTTTTTTTTACCTGTAAATTTGTTCTGGCAATTTTCCAGGAAAGAGAAGTTGTAACACGGTAACATAATTAACCCACCAAGAAAAAAAATGTTCAGATTGCATTTCATAACTCCTAATGTTGCTAGTTAACACACTCAATGCATTTTTTTAACACATCCCATAATGGTTGATCTGTCGGTTTATGGTAAAAGTACCAGAATTAATACATATACTATAAAAAATGTAAAATATGAAGTGTAAGACCAATTTATTTTAAAAAAATATTCAAAATAAAACATTTTTGAATACTATTCATTCATTCATTTTCTTTTCATCTTAGTCCCTTTATTAATCCGGGATCGCCACAGCGGAATGAACCGCAAATTTTTAAATACTAAATCACTTTTATTTTTGGAAAAATGCCATAAAATATTTCAAAGTTTTTTTTTTCTTTTTTCTTTTTTTTACAATAAAACCAAAATCAAGTGTAGTAGTGGAACAGGATTATGTTTGATTTATTTTTTACAAGACTTTAACAGTCATTATTTAAAACAGTAAAACATGGTCAACTGTTTGGTAAAGGGGCAGTCAAAGGGATATACTCTGGCCACAGCCCTCAATCGAGTTTGGTTTTTTGCCATATATAAAAAAACTTTAGGCACCCCTGTACTAAAGCCTTTAATTTGCAATTTAAGCTGAATACTAATATCTTAAAATATATCTAGAAAATATTATGTATTATCATAATGGCAAAGATAAAAGAAATCGGTTATTAGAAATGTGTTATTAGGTTTATATATGTCTCGAAAAAAATCTTCTTTCCATTAAACCGAACTTACAGAGGCTAATAATTCAGGAGGGCTAATAATTCTTCAACTGTACATGTACAAATCAGCTAAGAGATAAATCGGATAAAATATACTACGAGGAGGCAAGTGTGTCCCCAAGCTCACATTTCCTCTCAACAACACGAGAAATGTTGTTCATTAAGTTTTGCCCCATATGTTTGTTTGTTCCCAGGAGTTGGATGCTGGATCTTCAAAGCAAGAGCTGTTGATTAATTACTAAACACTGTTAATAAAAAGCAACAAATAGTTTCTTCCTCTGTTTACTACAGGCTATAATGCCAAAAGCAATTAAGAGCTCTTCCAGAAGAAGCACATAATAGGGCAAGGCTCACTCTTTGGCTTTCAGATGCAATTAAAATAATGTTTCATAATAGATGCGCTGAGACAATGTCTTTGCAACTTAACTGTGGCGGCAGAGCATGTAATCGCGTGGAGGTGCAGGTAGGCATGGTCACATGCACTTACCTTCTGGTACTCGGACTGTATGGCTCCAAATTTATCCTTTGCCGCGCTAATGACGAGATCTGCAATGACAGGAGAAAACAAAGTCAGCATGCTGCTGCCTCTTACAGCGCCGCCGCGTCAGAACAGGTTACGTAATGTTATTCAGCATCTAGCTTAAAAAAAAAAAATCCTACAATGAGCCTACTGTGGATGAGCGTAACCCTTCAGTATTGTAGCCCCCAGCTTTTGTAACTCCACAATTACCACAATCTTGAGTGAAAATATCAGTTGTCTTCATGGGAACAGACATCAGAAATTCTCCTCAGGGAGAGTCTGAGCAGTGTTTGGTTTGTGAACATGTCATTGAGTTTCGGCATGACTGTGCTGCTAAAAGTTGCATTGTGATGCATTAAACATAAGATCTGGATGACAAATCTCATGCAAATTACTGGAATGCCAAATAGATGCTAACTCTTCTGTTATATCAACATTTCTGCATTTAATTATAGTATTTGTTAACAGTGTTGAAAAAAGAGAGAGATAGCACATGAGCGCCATCTGTAAAGGCTGATTTATACTTCTGCGTTAAACGCCGGCGTATGCTACGGTGCTGACGCATAGCCCTTCGCCGTGGCCGTCGCCGTCACTGACGTGCACCTCTCAAAAAATGTGACTACACGTCGCAACGACGCCTAGCGTAAGCTCTGTGATTGGTCGGCTTGGTAGCGCTGACGAGTCTGGGCGGGACCGAGAGCCACGCGAATGGCGCGAGCGATTGTTTACAAGTGTGGAGTCCCGTGAAGGAGCTCCGGATGGAAAGTTTTGTTTTGTGTTTACCTCATAGTTAAAGTTGTTGCACGTCCCCCGGTTCCTGCCTCAAAATGAGCGAGTTTGAGCCACTTGTACATCCCGGAAGTGTTCAGGAAAAGCAAAAAAGCAGCGAAGAAACTCGACACAGAGGAACATTTACACCTCACTGCCAACTAGCATTTCGGAAGTGTTAATGCAGACCGACGCGCAGAAGTATAAATGCACAGCCACGCGTTGCCAATTGTGTCCACTGGATGGCGTAACAGCAAACTTAATTTCATCCCATCCAGAAGTCCGAATCAGCGTCAATTTGACAGCCATCTCAGAGAGAAAGACCTCATACCTTTTTTTTGTATCCGTCCAAGAAAACTAAACATTCGCGATCGATTAACCAGTGGAAAATTCTCTCGCTCTGCACGTTTCCTACTGCTGATTCTGTTTGTGCGCGATCTGTCACTCATACAAAAATTCTCGCGGACTCTGCAGACCCACTGAGACGCGCCTTTTCCGCCAAAATGCATCCGACTGTAGTTTCTGAATCTCCTAAATGTCCAGAATTCAGGTTTTACTTTCGCATTCTAGAGCTGCCGATATTTGTATGCGTTTTTACCATTTTACCATTTTGCAGCTGACTGCGCGCGGACAGCCGCGAGAGAAACATCAAATGATTAATAATTTAATAAACTACTCAGATAAACTTTATACCCGGAGAGAACAAAATGACATCTATAATGGCTGCAAAATATTTGTACACCACAGGAAAAGGTTAATCAACTGATTTGCTTTATTTAAATATTATACACATTTTATTCTAGTAATTGTTATAATTTTTTGCAGTAATGTCTATCTTGATTTTTTTTCTCCAGATATTTATTTCTCATTTGCTGTATATTTTATTAATGTAATGATGCTAATATATTACATACTTTATACATATCTAAAATGTTTTGACAATACTGTAAATGTCATTCCAATATAGCAACTTTCAATATATATTAAGAGAGAGACAGAGAGAGAGAGAGAGAGAGAGAGAGAGAGAGAGAGAGAGAGAGAGAGAGAGAGAGAGAGAGAGAGAGAGAGAGAGAGAGAGAGAGAGAGAGAGAGAGAGAGAGAGAGAGAGAGAGAGAGAGAGCACCCTTTACCTGTCAGTGGGTGCACATGTCTCCTAAATAGCATAAAAGTAAGAAAAATAGAGGATTTCTATTATTTCAACAGCCTTTATAAAATAACTTTAACCTATTGAAAAGAAAAGGTGTATAACAGTGTCATAATAAATAAAAATCAAGTTAAAAATCACATTATCTTTTGTTTGTCGAGTGTAGTTGACCATTTATGTGCTGTCGGAAAATGTGTTTTTCAATCAGGCCATCACTGCAAGTATATTTCAAACCTATGGGAAGCCCGGCACACTGACGTGATCTCATGAGGAAATGTAACTATTTTACGTTTTGTCTGTTTAGTGGCTATTTTGTACGAGTTCAGTCGTACGAAAATGTACCATTTGAAAAAAGGAAGAATGGGACCCCCCCCCTCCTCCCCGGGGTCCGGCCCACTTGAGAACAGATTTTACTCCATGCGGCCCCTGAGCTAAAATGAGTTTGACACCCCTGCTCTAGAGCATCTATTCCTAGAAATCTAGTCTCTGTAGTTCCTCAATGTCTATAACACACCCCAGTCCCATAACCACCAGCATACAAATCACCTGGATACAACATCCCAAACAACAGATGGCAAACATCCCAACTGACTGAAACAGACCCGTCTTAAACAATCCCCAGCAAACAGAGGGAAAACGTCTCTCTCAAGCTGTTACAAATAAAATGTCAGAATACCAACAGCGCAGTGTGATACTTTGTAAAATATAAGCAAAATTTGATTTAAATTCATATTCTAAAGGCATTACTTAACATATCAGTAAAAAGTAGTGTATTATCTACAATGCAAAATACAATAAGCAAATAAAAACCCAATCACGGGAGGGCAGCACAATATAATCAAAACAATTATATTACTATGTGAATATCCATATTGCAGAGAAGTGCAATAAATGTAATTAATTTTATGTGCTGTTATGTGAACCTAGAGCTGAAAATAAATACTAATGCCGGGAGACAATAGGGAAAAATGATCACAGCTAATTAGAATCTGAAGATACGCCGAGGATTTCAGTCATTAATGGTGTTTTTAAGTCTAAAAGCCCCATCACACACGCTGCACAATAAGGCACAAGACGTCTATGACACAATTTGTTGCAATTTTCAGACCAGTGCAATTTTTACGTTTTGCACCATGTTGTTTAAATAAAAAAATCCATTTGTGCCACTTTGTGAACTCATGGGTGTTCTGGTAAGAGGGTGTGGTAAGACACATTTGTCGGACTATTGCTATTTTAAGGATTTTTTTCAGTTTTTTCATTTGTATAATGTTATTATTATTATCATTATTATTATTTATTATATGCATATTTATTTTTGTTTTATTAAAAAAGAAGTTTGGATTTGTCAACCTGTCGGGTTTTGCAGACGTATGCGTCACCATATGGGGCATAAGAACAGGACGTGTGTTTGGATACAACTGACCACACTTCATTATTATTGCTCATTAATTGATTTGCTGGAAATTACAACTGAATTTAGAAATAGTTTTGAAACAAATCTTTGTGCTTAAACTAAATTAAATATGTAGGCTAATGGATGTCTTAAGTGGAGTGCGTACAACACTGTTTCTGTATCTACGAATGGAGTAATGGAGTAAAGAGTAAAAGTAAGAAAGTGATTGATTGGAGGAGGCTTGTTCTTTATCCTCGCGCTGCAGATTGTCTATTTAACTGTTTTTTTTCTAGTTTTTCCACTTACAAAGTCTGCCATGTAAATAGCAAACGTGCTACGGCACGACACAACTGACTCTTAAAGGGAATGAAAGATGAGACCCTGATTGGTTTAATGAACGTTATACTCAAAACACACACATAAATAAAAACAATAAGCACAGCCCTGTTAGACCATGCGCTGGGGTGCAGAGTGTATTTTTCCGTCCTCAAAATAGCAAAAGTGGATTAGAACATGCCCTTAATGCTTTTGTGCCATGCGCTGTAGACTTTGCGCTTAGACCGTTAAAATAGAGCCCAAAATGTTTGTATAATTTTTTTTAATTAGCTCATTACCTATTTATTAAATGATTTTATTTAGTGCTGTTAAAATAGCGCTTTTTAAAGTTAGGCATATCATAAGAAATATCATTATCGCAATCCTCAACAACAATAATCGCATATTGTGCATATATTCCATTCCAGTGTCATTTCACTCTTTATTGAAATGCATGACCTTTCAAACAACTGTTTTAAATAAAAACAGAAGTGAGAGACATGTAAGAGAACTTAGGAATCAAGCAAAACTGAGTGCATCAAAACCTGAGAAAACTTGCATCAACAGACAGTGTAATGAATGTACACCCGCCTGAACGCAAAACAGCAAACTGCAGAAATTCCGAAATAGCCGCCATCTATGAAGTAATGTCAAACGACCCATATCATTAAAGTGGAGGTTCTAGATCAGTTCACAGATCAGATGTCCGACTTATAGCACAATTATTTCTAGACTTTGGCTGTTTCTCAATATGGGTTCTTTAGCGATCTTATGTCCTTGTGTTCTCGTGTAACATCATCATCAGCTGCCATATTTTTGTTCCAAAACTCAAGAATGGAGGACGCGTGAAACTTCCCGGATGTGTTCTTGATTTTAAGGAAGCATCGATGCAGACTTGAGCACCAAACTCGCTGTAAAAGCCCCAGAAGTCATTGCGACTGGAGGTGGGAAGATCAGCATTTTATACAAGTTTATAATTAAAGTTCAGAGATATAACTTATTTACCTCAGGAGTTTCCCTAAATCAAACTATGGAAGTAAACATTACCATGGACATCTTAATAAAGGAATAAACACTTTAGGGGTGTTTATTTGCTGAAATTCGTATTAAAATCAGTTTTATTTATATTGTGTAGCTTATATTTGTAAAGTCTTTATGCAGAGTATATATCGTGAAAAGGGGAAAAACAATAACTCATTGTATAAATGCTGTAATGTTTCAATAATTTTTCATAAAAAATGCGTGAAGGTCATGTGACCATCAGAAAGAAGCAGGGAAGAACACGGCATCTCATTTCTCACAGGGGCGCAATTGCAAATTTGCAAAACGAGCTTCAAACAAATACATTTCTAAACACAACTGAAATAATATGAAGTGGTAGAAGTATAATTATACTAAGCATGTTA